CCACCGCCGGTCCTCTCCTGCACAATTAGAAGACCGACCGTGTGGTCCTTCCCTGCCAAACCCCGCTTGCACTGGCTCAGCGCGTCCGCTTGCCGAACGTTCCGGTCCGACCGATCCCATCGCTTGGAACCTTCCTTCCAGATTGGGACGCTGCGTATCCCTGCCCGGCGCCCATCTTGCCCGGCGTCTCTTCAAAGCGCGCCGTACTGCCGAATCCACAGCCACGTATATATACACTTCTCCATTCCCGATCTCCCTCCCACTCTCCCCTCCCGACCTCTTTTCTCTTTGACGCCTTCACGACCTCCGCGTCAAGCGCCCGAAGCCACTATGCGACGTACACTCGAGCCTATGTCTTCGTCTTCGACACTTTCCTCAATGTTGACTTCAGCCTCATCGGGATCATCCTCTTCGCATGCGTCAATGAGCTCACTAGCATCGCGGTCCTCTCGCGGCGGCTCCGCGCCAAGTTCCCGCTCCCGCTTGTCTCACTTGTCCGAGCCAAAACAAACTCTTACGCCTAGCCGCAAGCATCGCAAGATGCTTAAGAACGGGCAGGGCGAAGTATGGCCAGAGTATATTGAAGAAATCTTCGTTGAAGGTCGGTTCAACCACAACCGCCTTTGTGCCGCGCAGCCCTCTCACACGTTTTGCTCTGTACAGGTCTACGCGCGTACTGGCGATCTTCGTCCGTTAGCTTTCAAAGCGGCCGCAGTCGCGAGCGAAATGATTTCATTGTCAAATATCTCGGCGAGATGAGGATCGAGCGTACGAAGAAGCAGGTTGCCAGTCATATTCAGGTACTACGGAGTATGTGGGGTAAACCTGAGCACAAGGGTACGCGCATTTCGGCCTCGTGTAATATGCTGTGCAGTCCGGCTCACCAACCCCCGGTCGACACAGATTTGCGGATGCTCGTAGCCAGTATCGACGAGCTCATTGACGAGGGCGGTGTCCCTCGGGACAAGGAAGCGATCGAGAAGCTTATGGGCCGCGCTTGGGTTCCGCTTGACCATCGGCGCCGGGTGCCCAAGATCAGGGAACCGCAGATCAAGGAGGAGTTCGAGGGTGAAGCACTCGGCGAATTGCCCTCCGAGTACGACTACGTGAAGGCGGAGCCCATGTCCTCACCCCCGAGCCTAAACTTGAACACCAACAACCTTCACGCTCTCAGCAGTCCGCTCGCCGCGACCCTGTCACCGCTTTCGAGCGTCGGCAGCAGTCCGGAAGACTCCTTCACCGGCTCCGACGTCTTCTTCCCTCCGCAAGGCCGTGGCCGGTCGCTCTCCTACCTGGCGCTGTCCCCTGCCGCGGCGATGGACACCGCCTCTTTGCCTCATGTCGCCAGTCCCCGCACACGCCTTTCATCGCTCTCCGTCTGGGCACAGGGCATGGACTATGTGACCGCTCCGCTTACGCACCTTCTCGCGTCCCCTACGCGCATGGCTATCCGCGTCGGCCTCACAGCCTCGCTCCTCAATGACATGGCGGCCGACCCCAATATGAACGGTTTCCAGGTGGTCGTCACGCTCACGGGCGCGTACCAGAACGCGTGCTGTCTCTCGCGAGTCATCCTGAATGGCGAGATTGAGGCGGAACAGCGCGCATCGTTGGACCTTTTCTCAAGTACGGGTACAGAGTATGCCTACGTGCTGAACGACACATGGCTGGCACAGTGCCGGTGGCGCAACTCGGGTACGTCGTTTTCCCTATATACGCCCTGCCTCGCGCGCACCTCGTTGCTTACACGTGTCTGATCATCATCCAGGTGTCCACACATGTTTCGCGCAACATATATTCATCGACGGGCAAGAGGTCGCGGTCGTCTTCTACGATCTTACACGCTCGCCAGGTCCCGCGACTGCCACGATCCGTGAGACAACTTGGAGGGAACAGAGTTTGCATCGCGAAGACTACAACGCCTTCCTCTCTCAGCTCGGCGCCCACGTTCCAAGGGTCCAAGCCGCCTCGTTGTCCGGCACCGCTACGTCACCCGCCTCGGGGCCTCATGCCCAGCCACCTGCCCCATCGATCGCCTACGCACAGCAGCAGCAGGCCACGTCTCCCGCGTACACCTGGAGTTCCGCGCCCTTGCCCGTGCAGCAGCCCACGCACACGCACGCACCGCATCACGCCACGTACTTCAACCAAGCGCTCCCTTACAATCAACCCGCGGCGGGCCGCGCACCCATCGGAAGTACGGCGTACGGCGGCAACGCGGCCGTTCCACGCGTACTGCCCACTACATCCACTCTTTTCTCATGACCGACGTCAAAGACCTTTGAACGAGCTCCGAACGATCGACCTATGCCCCTCTATGACCCGCTCTCGTGCTGTCCCCGGAATCGCGATGTATCCTTAATATACCCCGTTTTACTTGCTATCTGTGCCGATCTCGTATCCCGTACCCTGTCGCGCTCGAGCCTTTACTACTTACCCGATACCATTCCTCCCTGCTATCAGCTCTCCTCGCTACTGTTCGACTACGTACGATGAACCCAATCACGATGGTCATCACCCGGAGTCTCGCTTCCCTGTTGACTCTTTCCCTCCCTACTCTTACTGTAGTCCTAGCCTTCTGAGATGACCGTCGTGTACACCTACTTCGCGCAATGGAAATGCTGTACACAACTCCAGTAGCCCGAAGCCCGAGCAGCCCGAAGCGAAAATTTTCGTGAGTACAGAATTCAATACAAAGTCTATAGTTACTCTGTATAGGTATCTATGCCCGACCACGTATCGGCAGCTCTTGCAACCGTATCGCCGCTTCTCGGACACGCGCGTCCGCATGCGATTCCGCGAGCATCGCAAGCTCAAACGCAGAACCGGCGAAAGGGTTGCTCAATTGAGGGTCGTCAACCTCTGGCCGATACACGCCATTGACGAGACAATCCTCAGAAGACAATAGTGCCTCGAGACGTGGCTCCCGTCCCATCAGCTCTTCGACGAAGTCGAGAGCTTTGATGGCCGTCGCGGGCGGCCAATGCAGCGCGGCGCCGAGTAGACGCTTTGCGACAGCAGCCGCACGCCAGGGGGGTGCACCCGCTGATGATCTCGGCGAGAATGCGAGATGCAAAGCGCGGAACAGTAGAGCATCTGCAGGCTGCGCCGGTGCGATCGCCTTCGATACCCGCGGAGGTACGACGTCGATGGCTGCCTCTACGGAAAGAGGTAAGATCAGAGCGTATAGCTGCGCGACGAAGTCGGAGAGATCGACAGTGAGTGCCTCGCCTGCATGAAGGGGTGGTCAGTTTACTGCCTCGTGGTGATAGAAATGGACGATAGCGGACCTTGTCCGGAAAGCAGCTCGAATGCAGTGACGATACATGCGAGTCGGAGGCGCACGCGTTCAGATGCTCCAATTTCTTCCTCGTCGCCCTCACGCACAATAAGCTCCCGCAGGACGGCGAGAAGGTCTTTGAAGAAATCGATGCTGACGAGATGCGCGAATCTCGAGATTCCCTGCAATGCAGCTGGGAGTAGAGGCGTCGGCGTCGGGTTTTTCAAGACGCGGAAATACAGAACGAAGAGAAGCTTGAGCGTCTCCGTTTGCTGCATAATGCGCGGGTCAGAACGACGCCCGACCTGAATTCGATCTGTCGACTTACATTCGCGGCGCGTTCCTCTCTATCGACCTCGGCGTCAGCCTCCTTCATCTCCTTCTCAATCTCCTGGCGCTCCTTGAGCACCTTCTTGGCCTTTTTGCTCAGGTGCGCCTTCTCCGTGCTTCCCTTCTTGTTCTTCATCTTCTTCCCGTTCTTGTCTGGGCGCGGCTCACGTTCCGCGCGAGTTTCGGAAGAGCGTATGCCGAGCTCGGTCTTTAGACGCAGAGAGAGAAGACAGCCCAGGACGTCGGGGTGAATCTTAAAGCGACGCTCCTTGACCATGCGGTTGAGTAAGCGTACGACCTCAAGTGAGGGCACACCGGTCACGTCCGCCTTAAACACAGAAATGATGGTCTTGAGACATAGCTCTGAGCTCTGCAGGTCGATGATTAGTTATAGTTCGTGACGGATATGGAACAAGGGCCTACGTCGTCCCACGAACGCTTGCTAAGACGGCCGACGACGGAGCTCATGAGATTGACCCGGAAGTTGAAGTGTGTCAAGTCAGCCAGTAGCGTGCACATGCATTGAAGAGCAGCATCTTCAAGCCCTGCTTTCGCTATAATTACCCGTTAGTTTGGACACGTGAAACAACTTCGATTCACGTACCCTTCAGCTCGCTCTCGAGCGTCTTCAGGTATTGTTGATACACGTTGACCAAACCCTGCTCCCATTCGCGTGTACGAGCGACCATCTGGCTAACCTTCTCCTCCTTCTCCTTATCCGTGAGTGCGCGTATCCTGTAACCCGGGATGATATCCTTGAACACCGCAAGCTGAGACAGTATCGCAAGTTTGCGAACAATGGGGTCGTTCGGTACAGGTTCTGGTCGAGATGGGGTGACTATCTGCGGAAGGGAGAAGCTATTCAGTCGGCGAAGAAGTCCTAACTATATCAACTTCAGCATATGCATATGCACAGGATGAAGATCAGACCCACACTATTTTCAGGATCTGCAATAATCTCCTGGCAGATGCCCGCAATCTGCTCCTTCGCGGCCAGAACCTTCGCCTTTCTCGACTTCATACCCAGCACGTCCGCCACGGCAGGACGCCCGAACCGAGCACCGGTGGAGACGTCTTCGCGAACCGGAGAAGGCGCTCGTGGAGCTGGCTCGTCTTCCTCCTCACTGGACTCGCTCGATTCGTCCAAGATGACCTTTCCCGCGGACTGCTGCAAGGAACCGTCGGCAAGTTTGATCGGCAGACGTCCGACGCCCTTCTCGTTCTCAGACTCGCTCCATGACGCTCGTCGTCTGCGAGGCTGAGCTTCGTAGGACATTTCAGAGCCATCAGAGTCACGACGACGAATACGAGCGCGAATGCGTGAGGGACCAGCAACAGGTTCATCCTCTTCAGAGAGTAGACCAGACTCTATATCTGAAGCATCCAGGTCCGAAGCCTCAAAGTCTGAAGGAACATCAGAGTCCCATTCCTCGTCGGAAGAATGTGAATGAATTGATGGCAAGTCGTCGTCCACCCGTTTCTGGCGTACAGGTTTGTGCATTTGATGAAGTCGTATGGTTTCCTTCTTGCTCCTATAAACACGTTATGATATATATTGCATAGAATATATTGATTTCGCACCTGGCAATACCCTTCTCATCCAAAGCAGTCAAGAACTGCAACCCTGAACCGTACTCGTCCACCATCTCCATATCCTCCTCGCTTAGATCCGAGTCCCCTCCATCTCTGCGCTGCGGTATTTCGATAGTCGGCCTATCATACGCGTGATCCTTCCCCTTGCTCTTCTCCTTCGTAGCTTTCCCAGAAGGCTTTGACGCCCCGTGCGCAAGTTTGCGCTTTTTGGATGGCCCCTGAGAATATATATGAGCGCTTGGCTATGATAGAGACGGAGCATAACGCACAGACTGTCCCTTCGCGGGTCGTTTTCCGTGCGTTTTGGGTCCCATGCCGGTCGTTGGACAGCCTCGCGGTCGCGGTCTGAAGCCAAAATCAAAATGTAAAGTCACGCCTCGACGCGATCATGTGTGGCGACGCGCGCCGCCGCGAAGCACGCGAGCGCGTCTTGGTCCGCGACCACCATTATCCTCCCACACACACCTGCGGACATCTCTCCGAGCGCTGTACCTGTTCCTTGAAACATGGAGGTTACAGATGCGCCGCCTGTCTGCTTTACGCTGCGACCTCATCATCTGCATCTACTGGTGATGATCACGCTGCTGTTCAAACGCTTCCCAAGAGACCGTTTCGACGCGAAGTTCGTGGCCCGGATGCATGAGATCATCATTCGCGAGTTATCTGAGGTATGACATGCGCGTGAAGATTGATTGCTGTGTACTAAGGCTGTCACGTAGACCTCTGCGCCAATGAGCTACGGCGAGATCATGAGCGAGATTGAGTGGGCGCCAGAGACCAACACTGATGGGATGACAGACTTTCTCAAGTGTTTGCAGCCCAAGGTTAAGCGAATTTCTAAGCCCTAGAGCATGTCTGATGCATAGTAGAATCTTGATTTCGGAAGTGTCGATCGCCTAACCTCTTTCATGACCAGTAAGTAGTCTGGCCCGAGCTCTACCAGTACTGTCACTGACTCTATGCAGTGATAAGCTCGATGTACCCTGCCTCTGGCACTGAAAGCGACGATGTGAGGGATCAGGACTAAACCTCGGCGTCTTTCACTGACGGCGTCCTGCTCTTAGACTGAGTTGGTAGGTGGCTATGCATGGTATGCCTGGCAGCTAAACTTACTCATAGTACAGCATCGTCGCTCTTACTATGGCTACTTCTGCCGGAGAGCCATGGTGGCTTTCAAAAAGCTCTCCTTTGCCGGAGCAACTCGACTCGTTCAAGATCATTCTGCGTGGCTACAAGGACATAGCGACGCAGGGTATCACAAAGTCGAAGTCGACCCCATGTCCATCGGTAGGCCCCTTCTTGATCCATACTACAACGAGGGAGGTACTCATGTATGACAGGCGATGTACTATGGAAGACTACGTCGGATGAATACGAATGGGCGCTTCCGGGATCATACGCTCAGTGAGCGCGTATGTCATACACTAGTTCAGTACGTACTCATACCGGATCTAGGTTTGAGAGAGCCGTTGCGGTGAATGACTCGAACCTTGGACATGAGAGCCTTCGTCAATTCTTCGAACAACACTTTCATGATGGGAGTGATTCGTGAGTTTGGCTGATACATACCACCCCTATCGTTGCTCACTCCCACGTCTATAGTGGGTTGAGACAACACGCTCTGCTGAACCTCTCGCGTATGCACTATATACGCAATGAGTATTCGGCCGCACGCAAGGTACGCGCGCTCGCCACTTGATCCTGAAGGCCATCACTGACTTGGCTGCAGTTTCTTACGGAAGCCATCGACGTCTCCAGGACATCCGGAGACAAGGTGACGCTTCAACATTGTCAGAGGTCCGTACCGGCGCTTCAGGTTGAAGTGCATCTTTGACGTTCTGGCCAGCCTGATGCGAAGGATGCCGCGTCCATGGGTGGAGAAGCCCCCTGTGAACGAGATACAACCCGCGCTTCATCCTCTCGAAGTTGTGTTTGATGTCGAAAAGCTCATACACGGTCTCAGCGTCAGTTCTACATCACACGTACCATCACAGCAAGGTCTAACATCGCCACAGGAACAACCACTCAGTGCGGCTTTTGAAAAGCTGACACAGGCTATCGGCCTGTACGATCATTGGATTGACGTCCAGGGTCAGATCCCCAACGACAAAGAAGAATGGAGTCATCATGCGGTGCAGTCCGTTCTGTGGCAAGAAGCAGGTGCGCCAGATTGAAATGCTTCAACTCATCTCACTCTGACTCTCATACAGGTTGCTCGAGACTTGCGGCGATCGAAGAAAACATCGTGACGCTCTTTTCTCCCGGCGGAGACGACAACAACGCGATAGTCGTGACGCTTAACCGCGCATACAGGGTGCGCGCTACCTGTACATGTCGACATCCGAAGACTCACCCAGTCGTCATCAGAGAGCACGGCAGGGAGAATACCGCGGTGCACTTGGAGATCTACTACTTCCAGCAGTATGGCGAGGGCTAACATTGACCGATATCGGCCGCTGGACGTGGCAGATCTGGCAGATCCTAGCCACTCGCGCGAGCAGGAGGTGGATACCACCTCGCATCTCGCTTGATCTACCGCCTGATTGATCATACGAAGAGGACAGATCAGACTATGGCATGACTTCCTCTTACCTCGCCGACCAGCAGGACCGTATGATGCCCGGGATTACTTCTTCAAGAATCCCAAACCAGCCAAATCGTCTGGAGCGCTCATACGCGATCCTTTGATAGACACTATGGAGCTTCGGGTGCGCTTATCTATCGTCCTTACCGGCTGATCGTATCTTATCTGATGCTGATGCAGGAGACTGATCAATCTGCGTACACGATTGAGCGTCTGTTGACTGCGCTATGGCACGCCGAATACCAGTTCAGGTTCAACTACTACCGAACGGGCATGCTTATGCTCGCTGACATCGGGCTCGAGTTCGGTATGACGAAGAGGTCGCAGCAGATTGCCGAGAGTATTCTTCCTCAGGTCCGGCCCGACGCTTCTCAGCCTTGTCCCACCCACTGATCTGCTACCAGGTGATCGCAGGAGACGACCTCGAACAACGCGCACTAGCATGCTTCACCTACGCGCGCTGTACAATAGCCGCAGGCGAACGCTCAGCCGACTCCATACGCGCAGCCATTCCATTCCTTGATAAAGCTGAGAAGGACTACGAGAAGATCGAGTGCTTACGGTCGTTGGCGGACGTTCAGTATTTGTTGTCTGTGCTGCATCATAATGTGGGGCAGGAGAAGGAGCGGGATGATGCTGCTGCGAGGACACTGAAGACGGAGGAGCTCATTGCGAGTGAGATGGCGTTGGAGAGTGAGAAGTGGGTGGAGGATGTTTGGAGGCTTGTTACGGATATTGGGGCGAAGATGGCTATGAGGTGATGCGGTGCTGGTAGTGTGATGCGAATGGTATGATACATGTTGCTATGCTTGAGGTTTGTCCGTGTATAAGGGTCACTCCTCCACCGTATCAGATATATCTCGACTCTCATGGAGCTTCCTCTCCTCATCTTCGTCTAGCCCCAAGGCCATCCCAAACTCCCACCATATATCAATGAGCCCACCCAAAACGCCGTTCTCCCCCTCCTCGCTCCTTGCTTCCTTATCGCGTAGAAGCGACAGCCCATGCCACCACACTTCCCGCGCGCCCTTCTTCATATACGCGATGAACATGTTCGCGGACCCGTTCGTGTGTTCGGGGCATGTCGACCAGAACGAGAGGCCAGAGATGAAGTTGATGTGCGATGAGATGGTCTCGTATAGGGCTGGGGCGTAGTCTGTGCGATGAGAAGCGACTTATTAGCGTGGAGTAGATGAATGAAGATTTGGGGCTGACCTTTCTCCCCGAGCTCGGCCCCAAGCTTTAGCTCGCCGTGATTGGCAGCGATGACGATACCTTGGGAGAGATGATACACGACGTCGGCTCCGCTCACGTACTGCGTGTAGTCCATATTGAGCGGAGTGCCGTATGTCAATCTGTCCGTGTAAATGACTCTGCGACAATCAGGACGTAAATTAACGTGGAAACACCTGATGACGACGGGAACCGCACCTCAATATTTCATGAGCCGTGCACCAGACACGCCGCATCTCCGGATCGTGGGGAGAGTACAGGCTGTACGTGCTCCGAGCCTTATTGACGAGCCCGAATATATCGCGCTGAATCATGAGGTCGATCGTCCCGCGACAGCACACGAGGAACCAGACGAGATGGAGGCAGGCCGTGACGGTGCCCGCCTCCTTGATATGCCTCTGCGTATTCTCCAGCGTGTGTCGTAAGCGCGTGAGGATGCGTTCGAATCCTATGCCTTGGAGCCAGGGAAAACGGGCGAGGGCGTTGCCTTGTTGGGTGGCCATGCGCAGACCGTGACCGTCGAGGACTAGGGTGGCGTAGTGCGAGAGACAGCGGAGGGAGCCGAGGATCAGGGCTGAGTCTTCGAGTTCTTCAGGGAGGAGGACGTAGAGGAGGAGACCGATGTGGGACATCTTGGACTCTAGTGGGGGCGCACGTCTGAAGCTGATGCAGCGATGAGCCCATGTCTTTACGCGCGCGAAGAACGAGTGTACCGTTGTGTGTGCAGGTCGACAGACTGATGGAGCAGACTTATCATTGCTGGTAGGACATTCACTTGGAAACTCGGATCCTGGCTCGCGACTGATAGAGCCTCGCGTATATTCCACACATGAGCCCAGATCTCGACCGTCCTCATCTTGAACACCGTCGCCTCTTCGGAGAACTTGTCTTCTTCACGGATATACGCCTCGCAGATGACGGACAATATTCGAAGGACGTAAGTTGCCGTGGCCTGTGTATGTTCAGACTCAGGCGAGGCTGCAAATGCGCTGAGCTTACGATGGGCAGAGTGAAGAAGTCCATTCGACATACGACGTCCGGGCATGCGCGAGATAGCCCATGCAAGAGGGTCCAATATGGGACTGTACCAATGGTCTCCTCCAAAGGCTCGTGTTGTCGAAGCGCGCCGTCCAGATGGGCAGCGAATGCACCTTCGAGCTCTGTGTCCTCTATAGACTGAAGAAAGGCTTTGATGGAACTCATATAGTCGTCATTATCATCTTCTAGAAGATCCAGATATAGTTCTCGGAACTCGCGTATGACTTCGGTAGGGTGATCGCGCAAGACCTGGATGAACTCCTCCGACATATCGAGGTGGTGGACGTCAGAGCCACACGCAGCGGAACCGAACGCGTGATGGCGCGACGCGTTTGATGGGACTCGGCGTTTGCCGGTTACGTTCACGCGCGTTGGGATGGAAGGTTGAGTTTAGCAGCCAACCACGACCTCCGGTCCTCCTGCCTGCTTACACACGATGGACGGGCCTCCGCCGCAGGAGGAGGACTTTAGTTCTCTGTCGATCGAGGCCAGGATCGGACACAAGAACTGGAAGGCGCGCGTCAGCGGCTACGAGGCCCTCTCCAAGACTTTCCAGCTCACCGCCTCCGAGTCCGATCCGGCGTTCAGACCGTACATCAACGCGCCGGACACGCTCAAGAAGATCGTCGCCGACTCGAACGTCGCGGCGCAGGAAAAGGGCGTCGAATGCGTGGGCAACTTCGTCAGGTTTGCGGGAGAGAGCGCGGGGAGGACACGTGAGGCCGTCGTGCCCGCGCTGGTGGACAAGTGTCTGGGATCGACGCGGGCGGGGACGAAGAATGCGGCGATCGAGCTTATATTTCTATACGTCGAGGTCGAGAATGGCGGGGCGGGCGTCGTCGTGCGTGTGCTTTACGTCTGATGTCGCGTGTCGCGTGCTAACCAGTCATCATATAGGACAACTTGCTCCCCGGACTGGCAGCGAAACAGCCCAAAGTGGTAGCCGGTACCGTGACCGCATTGAAGGAGGTTATTCGGTGAGTATATTCTGATATCACGCGCCACATCCGACTGCGCGGTGGCACCTATATTCGTGGGCGCTCATCGTATCAACAGACAATTCGGCATCCAAGTAACCCCACCTCCGCCAATACTCAAGGCCCTGCCCAAGATATTCGCACACACAGACAAGACCGTCCGCGCAGAGGGTTCGAATCTCACGCATGCGTTATACCAGTACCTCGGTGCAGGCATTGAGCCTTTCCTCAGCGATCTCAAGCCTGTGCAGGTGAAGGAGTTGAAAGAGGCATGGGAGGGTATGGAGAAGGATGGGCAAGGCAAGGGCTCGCTTAAGCCGACGCGGTATACGAAGAAGCAGGCGAGGGAGATGGAGGAGGCTGCGGCCGCTGGCGAGGAGGCGGATGCAGACGGTATGTTCGATCCGTGTGATTGCGTGTAAACATTGATTTGACTGATACGCCATGGCACAGAACCCGAAGAAATGGATCCTCTACAATTCGTCGAACCCGTCGACATAGTACCCAAGATTCCATCAAATATGCAAGCGGGCCTCTCCTCATCCAAGTGGAAAGAACGCAAGGAAGTTCTCGACGACCTCTTGACGCTCGTAACCACAACACCCAAGATCGTACCCGCTCCCGAGTTCAGAGACTTGTCAAAGTCACTTGCGACCTGTATACAGAAGGACGCGAACATCAACTGTGTCATGGTTGCGGCTCAGTGTTTGGAGGGTCTTGCGAAGGGTCTTGGAGAGCCGTTCGGAGCGTATAGGGAGACTATCATTCCACCTATGTTGGAGAGGTTGAAGGAGAGGAAGGCTACCGTGACGGATACGATCGGTGCAGCTCTGGACGCTATCTTCTTGACAGTAAGCTCAACATACTATTCTCAGACTATCGCATTTGACTGATAATGAACCCCAGACGACACTGGAGGGCGTAATCGGCGACCTCATACCCGCCTTCACGCACAAGAACCCCCAAGTCAAAGAAGGCGTCCTCAAATTCCTAACCCGCTGCCTCAGCACATCCAAAACGCCCATCCCACAACCACAAATCAAACCCGTATCCGAAGGCCTCGCCGTACTCCTCGAAGACTCCTTCGCAGGCGCACGCGACGAAGCTGCCAATGCCTTCGGCACGTTGATGAAGATGGTCGGCGAGCGCCCGCTGGGCCCGGTTATGGAGGGTTTGGCGGATGTGAGGAAGGCGAAGGTTAAGGAGGCGTTTGAGAAGGCTACGGTCAAGGCGAAAGCTGGTGGGCCTGCTCCTCGCGCTGCGCCTCCTGCTGCGAAAGCCCCGCCTGCGAAGAAGGCACCGCCGAAGAAGGCTGCTGCTCCTCCGCGCGAGGCGTCACCTCCACCTGTCGAGCAGGAACCGATGGCCCCGCCCAAGCGCGCTCCCCCCGCCCGGTTCCTCCAGAAGAAAGCTCCAGCCGCCTCTGCAGATGCACCGCCAGCAGCTGCACCTCCGCCCGCCGCCGCACCAGCCGTAAAGAAGCTCCCTCCAGCCGCCGCCGCCAAGTCATCCAAACCCGCACCCGCCGCCGCCCCCGGCCAGCTCGACACCTTCAAATACAAACATACGCCCGAAGACGCCGACTCCCTCGCGTCCGACCTCATCCCCGCAAGCATCGCGACCCAATTCGGCGACTCGAACTGGAAAGCGCGGCTCGCCGCGCTCGAAGAGGCGACCGCGTGGGTCGAGTCCGAGGCCGAGACGCTCGACGCGGAAGTCGTCGTGCGGTTCTTTGCGAAGAAGGGCTGGGCGGAGAAGAACTTCCAGGTCTCGGCGAGGCTGTATGGGATACTGGTGCTGCTCGCGGAGCGCTGTCCGAGTTTCGGGCGGTCGTGTGTCGCGCTGAGCGTTCCGCATTTGACGGAGAAGCTCGGGGATATGAAGTTGAAGAAGCCGGCGGGAGAGGCGATGGGGGTGTTTGCGGAGAAGACGAGTTTGCAGTTCGTGCTGAATCAGTGTAAGTTCTCGCTCTCTTTTGATGTTCGAGATGAGGATGTTCGGTGGCTGATTGGGTGTGATTGCAGCTTATGATGCGCTGGGCAAGATCAAGGCGCCTAAGGCACTCGCGGACGCGCTCACGTGGATCGAGGGCGCTCTGCGCGAATTCGGCATCGCGGGCCTTTCGCTTCGCGCGCTTATCGACACGCTCAAGACTGCGCTTGGCAACTCGAATGCGGCGGTTCGTACGAGCGCCACCAAGACGCTCGTTACTGTTAAGCTCTTCGCCGGCGCGGGCATCAAGGATCTATTGGGCGATCTCAACCCTCAACTTTTGTCAACGATCCAGTCCGAGTTCGACAAGGTCGAAGGACAGGAGCCTCCTGAGCCGACGCGCTCCTCAGCAGACGTCGCTGCTTTGCCAGCCGCCGGTGCACCAGGCAAAGGCGGCGCAAGTGGCGGCGACGCGCTCGACGACCTCTTCCCACGCGTCGAATTCGACAGCCTGCTCAAAGGCACGACGATCCTCGCCGACTCCAAAAGCGACGCCTGGAAAACGAAGAAAGAGGCGCTCGAGACGCTCCAAGCCATCCTCGACCAGGGCCCCAACAAGCGCCTCAAGCCGTCCATCGGCGAGATGGTCCAGGTCCTCAAAGCGCGCGTCGTGGACGCGAACAAGGCCGTGCAGTCCCTCGCGCTCGACATCGTCGCGCGCATCGCGACGGGGATGGGCAGGCCGTTCGAGAAGCAGGCGAAGTTCTTCGTCGTGCCTGTCGCGTCGGTGTTGGCGGACCAGAAGGCGCCGACGCGGAACGCGGGGCTCGCGACGCTTAGTGCGATCGCGAGTGCGTGCGAGGGGATGGAGCCGCTTGTGCCGGGGCTGACTACGGCGCTTGAGGTCAATAATCCGATGCAGAGGGCTACGCTGTTGGGCTGGCTCGTCAGCTGGTTCCAGGATCCCGAGCATCCCGTTACGAAGTCGTTGGATCTGAGCGGGTGGGTGCCGCCTATTGTCGGGTGTTTGGACGATAGGAGTGGCGACGTGCGCAAGGCGTGTGTGGGGATGTTGCCGTTCCTCATTGCCTCGGTCGGCTTTGAGAAGGTTCTGGCTCAGTCGAACTCGCTGAAGCCTGCGTCGAAGAGTAGCGCTGTGCCGCTGATCAACGCTGCGAGGGCCTCTGCGCCTGGGCCGGCTGCTGCACCGGAGCCCCCGAAACCGGCTGCTGCTGCGCCCAAGGCTGCTCCTCCGAAGGCGAAGCCTGCGCCGCCGCCTGTTGATGAGACGCCTCCTGCATCGCCGCCTGTGAAGGCGAGCAAACTCGGCGTGCGCAATATTCTGCGTGGGACGGCACCTTCGCGGCCCGAATCGAGGAGCGGGACGGACGTTGAGGATGCTCCGCCTACGACGTCTAGGTTAGGGTTGGGCAAACCGGGGTTGAAGCGGCCTGCAGGAGTCGGACTCGGCATATCCTCAGCCAAAGTCGCACCACCTACCCCTTCACCTCCCGTCACGGCCGGTGGCGGCGCATTATTGTTCACGAACATGAACATGAACACGAAGAACGCGCGCTTAGCGAAGGATGGCACGCGCTGGGTGAACGAAGGCGGCCCAACGAAGAAAGACCTCGCCGATCTCCTCCAACACCAAATGGAACCGCACGCTTCTCCCGATCTCATCGCGAACCTCTTCAGCCACGATCATAGTGCGGTAAACGACCACGTAGCCGGCATGGGCTCTATCGTCGATTTCTACGCCGAACTGCTAGCGGGCGGCGAAGGTCTGGGACTTGGGCCTGATGAAGCGCGGACGGTCGGGTTGGCCAATTCGGATTTCGCGCTCAAGTATGCGAGTTTGAAGGTGCATGAGAGTCAGAGTAATTTGGTGGCGAGGTGTTTGGATGTTGTGGATGCTGTGCTGGGCTTCATGCATAGCGTCACGTATGAGCTGGGCGATGCGGAGGCGGCGTGTTTCGTGCCGACTATGGTGTTCAAGGTGCGTTTTCTCCATTGCTCGTTTGTTTGTTTGTTGGGAATGGGCGCTGATGCTGCGATAGCTCGGCGACGCGCGTGAAAACGTACGACATCGCGTTCAGGCGATCTTCAATACGCTGCCCAAGGTGTACGCCTACAGCCGCATCTTCCAGACGGTGCTCGAGTATGGTCTCAAGTCGAAGGTGGCGAAGAGCAGACAGTTCTCGCTCGAAGAGCTCGAGAAGATCTTGAAGCGGTCGGGCGTGAGCGCTATGGAGGCTCCGAGCAAGGCTTGTCCTGCTATCGCGTCCATGATCGCGGATAAAGATCCGAGTGTGCGGAAGGGCGCGCTGGCGGTGTTGAGTGAGGTGTATACGGTCGAGGGAGAGCGGATATGGTCGCTTGTTGGTCCGTTGTCACCAAAGGACAAGACACAACTTGAGGAGCGCTTGAGGCGTGTTGCCGGGCCCAGTACACCGCCCAAGTCCGCTACTGCCTCGGCTCTACCTGCCGCTCAGGCATCGCGCCTGGCTTCGGGTATCGGTCGTCCCGCATCTCCCTCTGGTCTGTCCGCAAGACCCGGTATCCCTCGCCCTGCCAGTCCAGCCGGCGCTTCTCGTCTCGCGCGACCGATGTCCCCATCAAGAACCACGGGCGCTACGCCTGCATCCGGTCTCGCTCGCCCGACATCACATCTCCCCGGTCCAACATCTCCCACGGCTGGCGCAAGTCGCGGACGAGGTCTTCTGCCACCTTCGCGTCTTGGTGCACCGAAGTCCCGCTTGAGTACTATCAAGACTGGGATTGGTCGTCCGCGCGCGATGTCGAAGCCGGATCCTGAGCCCGAGCCTGAACCGGAGGTCCATCACGGTCACGGGCATGTCGAGGCTTGGAGGAATGGAGATGAGGATCCTGAAGAGCCCGACGCGCCACCTACGCCTGCAAGCGATATCACCCTCACGATCTCCAGCGTTCTCAGCAGCGACTCGGATCGAAGCGTAGACGCGTTGAAGCGGGTGCAGAAGATCCTACAGCTCGGACCCGAAGCTGGCCCTTCATCCTCTCAGTACCGAGATCTGGCAGAACACGCGGAAGGCCTCATCGAGACGATCACGCTGCAGATGAACCATGCATTCGACCACCCTGATCGACGTATACGGCTGGCGAAACATCTCATTCAGACGCTCAATGCGTTCTGTGATAATCCGCTTTTGGCAGAGTCGTTGACGGTGGACATCCTTACGGCGCTATTGGAGGAGCTGGCGATGAGGTTGTTGCAGACGGATGATAGTCCGAATGCGGAGGTCAAGAATTTGTCGAGGTTTATCAATATGATTATGCTTCGACTGTTCTCGACCGGGAGGAAGATCACGGTGTTCAGGTATGTGCATCCGGGAGCGATAGTCTTGGAGCATATAGCTGATGAATTCTTCAGGGCATTATTCGCTCTTCTGCTCCAGATCGTGCGACCGTTCCCGTCCCACGGCACCCAGGCAGATTCTCAAGAAGCCCGCGTCGCCGAGCTCGTCCTGAAGTGCATCTGGAAGCTCGCGCGCAGTATCCCGCAGGACCTCGAGCAGGTTAAGCTCGACCCGGTCGAACTCTTCCCAGCAATCGAGCACTTCCTCCAGTCCGTACCTCCGAATGAGTGGCGTGCGCGCTCCGCAAACCGTGTACCCTGCGGCGACATGCCTCTGCGGACGATCAAGGTCATCATTCAACATGTCGTGGCGCACTACGGCGACGATGTCTACGATGTATTGTCGCTGTCTTTCGAGGACCCATCCGCGACGATCGTGTACCCATACGTCTACCGCATCCTC